GATGACGCATTTCTTTTTCAATCAGTTGTATTCGGATTTTTCCATTTTTTAAAAATTTAATGAAAACTGTGAAATAACCTCTGAACATCATAAATTAATCTAAGTAATTATGTAACAATTAAAGCAAGTTACTCAATTTGTTTGCACACACCCTTGCAGTTATGAGACTACATCTTTCAAAAAATAATGATTCGATGCTTATATTTGCATTTTTTAACTTCTTGCCTTGTACAAAATACAAAGGTGATTTATATTTTAAAATCCCTGCATTATCCTTCGGGTAAGTTACAAAAGAGCCATTGCAACAGCTTCTGTTCAATGTGAGTGTGAATTTGGATTTTCGCTTATGATGTTGCTCTTGAACGGCGTTCAAAGTTTGTGACGTCAAAATGTTTAAAGGTTTAACCTTTTGACCCCCGTCCGTATTATATGTTGTTTTGAATGCCGTCGCTTTCCACACACTTTATAAGCAAAATAAATCTGGAATGTAAATACTGAAGGATATTTATCCAATCATGCATCAATAGTGATATGCTTTTTCTCTAGTACAAAAGCGACTAATGGGGGAAAGTTCACACTGTTCTCGGTTGTATTGTAACTTTTATATAAGTAATGAGCATATGTAGTTAGCTTAATTTTATTGCTTAGACATGTACATTTTTGGAAAACTCAATAAGTGTAGAACTACAAAAATGGTTATATACAGGGATCCTTCTTTCACAAACCTCTACACTGCCGAGTTTGTAGATAATTCTATAACATATACCGTTATGTTTGGTAATCCAGATTGAAAGAAATTTAGTGGATTAGATGCGACCTTTTGTTACTGATGAGGTCAATTAAATAACCTCTATTTTATTGACGAAGGTTTGACGTCTGTTCGTCAATATTGACCCCCGTCTGGTCCGGGCTAATATCCTATTCTTCTCTAGTGGACTGTATTTTATTTCAATCAAGTATTGTGTCTATACTAGTCTTATGGTAATGAGGGAGCTTTTTAGGAAGGGCAATGATAGAAGGGCTAATTCATTCAGCACAAAGGCCATGACAGAGGCAATAATTCGATAACTGTCAGTGAAATAAGAATTGTGTACAGAATATCTGGTAAACCAATTCTTGATTGGATTATCAATATATTTAAGCATTTTCTAATTGGTTTATCAGAATGTTAAGAATTTCTGGTTGGCTTATCACTACGTTCAGCATTTTATAATTTTTTATCAATATGGTTAGTTTTCTGATTGGTTTATCAGTATGTGAAAATATTTCAGTGGCGGATCCAGGATCTCGAAGGGGGTGGGGGCAAAGAGTTTGGAGTCGGAGTGGGGTATTTTTGGTATATTTTATGACTTATTTAGGTATATCTAAGGCATAATTAATGCACAGCTAGGTGCTTGTGGACAGAACCCCCCCCCCCCCAATATAAACCGCGGGTCTTAGGATTTTTTTTTTTGGTCTTCTTTCATAAATTAATCTTCTAGCATATTTACAGAGTATTCTAAATGATAAAGCTAAAAAAAATAGAATTAACGTTTTATTAAAAAATATATTAATGATATCCGCGGTATTATAAAATAGAGAAGGTCTTGTGCAATATTAATAAAATACGTTCTAAAAGAGTATAGATGCAATTATTTTTTGCTTCTTTTAAGCTCTCTGCAACGAAAGAAAAGTAAACGTATCTGATTTTATTCCGAATTTCCTCTGTTCTTACACGTTAGCCTATTGAGCTCGCTGCGCTCCCTATTTTTGAACAGAAATCACTGTTGTTTATTTCAGTGGAAAAAAATACATTGAAATAAAGTCTTGAATAAATATATCTAGACCATTTGAAATATTGATAATGCTTGAATTGATTAAAAATTTAGAAAAACACTATAGATTTCAATTTATTCAATTTAGATCTTAGGACAATCACTTTTACTGCATGCAGAAACATAGGACAGAATCAGAAACTCTGTAAGGTGCTGTAAAGACAGGGTTCTTAAGTATTTCCTGCAGGCGCGTAGCTGCCTATACGCAAATACGCAAGTGCGTACACATCATTTTTAAAAAATAAAATAAAATGAAATAAATAAATAAAAAGAATTTAAAAATTAGAAGAGAGAGAGACGGAAGGTTATTCTAAACTAAAAAAATCTCAGTACCATCCAACAATTTTTTGTGTTTCAAATTGTTTTGTGTCATACTGTTTCGAATCAAATTTAATATTATCATGTCTGTATGATCAAATTTGAAATTTTTTATTAGATCATTGACAAATCCAAATAAATCATTGATTAATTTGTAATTGTTCTATAATACACGGATATTTTTTTAAAAGGTCTTTGAGAAATCATAATTCAAACATTTCATAGAATGCTATGATCTACTCGTATATGATTAAAATACGACATTCTTTGTTAATAACTAACATTTATTATACTTGTTGAACGTTAATAAAGAGTATATAATATCGGTAAAATATTTAGCCTCAACTGCACGTACAATAAATTTCCATGGAAGTATAAACTTTGCGTTAAAAACAATATTTACTATGTCTTTTATTTTCTAAAACGCGAAATTGCATAATTTTTATTTTGCAAGAAAATGAATAAAATATATGGTAAAACTCAGGAGCTTCCGGGGCGAACACCAGGGTTTCGTCCTGGTCCCACTGTGGGGAAGGGGGTCAAGGCGGCCCCAGACGCCCTGCCGTTCTCTGCGTACACTTCATTTCCATTCTGGCTACGCGCTTGTCCTGATTGGTGTATCAATATGTCCCGCTTTACCTGTTTGGTTTACCTGTATGTTAAGAATTTCTGCATTCAGTGGTTTATCGGTATATTAAGCATTTTTAATTCTTTCTGTTCTAATAAACATTCAATTTGCTTCATGAGATACAATGCAGAATTTACAAATATCATTATATATATATTTTAATACAATGTATAATAATAATAATAATAATAATAATAATAATAATAATAATAATAATAATAATAATAATAAATAAATAAATAAATAAATAAATAAATAAATAAATAAATAAATAAATAAATATAGAATATATATAATAAAATATTACAATAAGTCAGTATATGGTGTACACATATACAATCAATCAGTACATATGGTGTACACGTATACAATAAGTCGGTGTATGGTGTACACGTATACAATCAGTCAGTACATATAATATATATTTTGGTTCATAAAGATGCAAAACTTACAAGAGGTCTATGGGCCACATCGCTCACCTGAGCACTTTGGCTAGGAAAACGCAGAAATCAGTTCAGTATTGAAAAGTTTAAATGTATGTGGTCTCAACCTATTAAGGAGGCTGCATGATTTGAACAAATTTTATTCTGAGGTCATTTAATAGAGATATCTAAAACATTTTTTGATATCAAACATATGCAACAATTTGAACCGTATTTCTTACTAGATTTAATGACCGTGTGTAAGTGTCACGTACATCGGCGTTTCTCTCCCTGTACAGATGTACAATATTTGCATGCATAGGATCGTTGGTTTAAAACTCGATTTACCCTATTAATTATTTTTGGTCTCTATGAAGGATCAGATCGACTCATCTGAATGCAAATGGCAGATTTATAGAGTATTATATAAATTTTGATATAAGTTCCTACAAATCTTCATATTTGAGCACTCTGGAGAACGGAGGTTCTAAATTACAGAAAATCCTTAGAGAGCATAAATAATTTAGGCTACAGATCCCTGAATGCAGTTTCCCTGAACTTTGAGATCGACCGATTTCATTTAAATATAGATTGAGGCTGTCTAACGGAATGTAAATGATCTGTACACACGAGGGATGCTGGAGAATTACTTTTGTCGGCGATTTACTGCCGCTAATCACCACAAGGTTAAACAAGGCTTTCATCACGTGTATTTTCTGTCACGGGATGATTTTTTCCTTAATTCAGTGTAACATCCAGTTTTAAGTCAGACCTACAGTTCATAATGACATGCATCGCTGCAGTTTAAAAGACTTAGTTTTCTGGATGGTTCAAACAATAAATATATAATGTGATATTTTTATCAATACTAGTTTACTTTTTTTCCAAAAGAAGAAGCATCCTGCAACTAGTGTCATTTGAAAATAAAAAATTAACCTTTGTCTTCTAAAGTTTAATTGATGTAAATAAGTTCAATGTAAATAAAATGTATATATCTACAGACTTTAAATTAAAAATTTCTATTTTTCAGGAAGAGACGAGCGTCCACTAAACAGACTTCCGGAAGTGATTGTTGCCTCATCTGTATCTGTCTGGGTATTGTTCTCCTGGTAATGGGTGCCATTTTTACAACAGACCTGGATATACCCGGATGATTGAAACAATTAAACTTACCCTTCTTTGACATCTTGGGCAGCATAGCTGTGGACATTTGAATATGGTGCCGATAACGTTTTACCTGAAACCTCATAAGAACATCTGAGTTTTCACCCTTAATATAAATAGTCTAACTTGTTGTCATTGAAGTTTGTTTGACTTTGAAGGACCTCAAGACTGTTCACATTAACATTATGTATAGCATGAAAACTTCCTTCGCTTGGACAAGAGGATGTAAAGCCTGATTTCTGTTCAGTTTTTAAAATGTAGTGACATTTCCGTACAAATAATATTTTAAAAACCTAAAACTTTTTTGTTAGATTGGAGTTGTAAAAAAGGCGCTTAAACTTTTGCAACTTAGGTGATCAATATAATTTTGAACAAGAATATCGTTGAATACAAACTTGCATTATTTATACAAGACTTTTACCATAAAGACCTGCAAACTTTTGTCCAAGAAAAATGATCTGAATTCAGAATTTTATCTCGGGCACTTTGGGACGGGGGATTCTTAAACAGAACTTTATAGACAGATGATATGATTATAATAACCCATGTAATTAAAACATTTGCCTTCTGGAACTCATTATAAATAGCAGTAATTAATATTTAGGTTATGATAGAGAAATTACAAATTCCATGTTCACAGATATTTATTTTATATATTACACTAAATGGCAATCGTCGCTTCTGGCAACTAGTTATGCTTCTGCAATAATTGTAACAAAAATAAATAAGACAGTCAGAGCAAGGATTTGTGAAGATTTAGTCCAGTTTTGTGCTGCAATTTCATGATAGTGAGGAACTATTTTTCTGTGTGATGTAAACTTAATTCTTCTAATATATACAAAAATTACTTTTAGATGGCTTTCTTGCTTTCATGTTTTCATGCAAATAAACATTTGTTTATTCGTTATAATAAATATATTTATTTTATTCATTCATGAAGTAATCGTTAAAAAGTTTCAAAATTTGCTCACTTACCGGCGCAAAATGGCGGCACGGAGCAGGTAGATCAAGGACACTGTAGTCTTCAATGTGTGACACGTGATCAGAGAAAAGGTACGTATACATTGTTTTTGCTGTAGGAATAATATTTCTCGATTAAAAAATAATCACAATTATTATAAATTACATATACATTGCAAATTTACATAGAAAAGCCTAATGACAAACTATAATTACCTCCATCTACGTCCCCATAATCTGTTTCCATTATGACATCACATGTGCGCGCATCCGTAGCAATTCGTATATTGTAACCCCGGAAGTCCATCCAATCCAGGTTGTAATGATGAAGACGGACCTGCGCATGCCCTTCCTCTCCCAACACGGAGTCCCCCGTGTAAGTAGCATTGGCTACAACAACAGTACAATACAAAGTAGCGATTAAGGTTATTTGCTAAATTTATTCTAGGAAGTCAATTAAATAATGGTTAAAATTATACATATATATCTAAAAATATATGAATAAATGCTACAACTATAGTAAGACACGGTTAATACAAATCAATTTGGATGGTTATATCCGTAATTTATTGATAGATGCCTCTGTGTTATCATGATTTTATAGATTCATATGTTTTATTAAAAAGATGCTGGAGTTCATTTATTATATCTACGTAGTCTTTCGAGACCAGGCCTTCCAGCAATCTTTGGAAATCAAATGGGAATCAATTGTACTTCTTTATTAGCCGACCTGTTTTTATAATCTTATAAAGCAGAATGTATTTAAAAAAACTTCTACATAAGAAGAAGAAAACTTTTGTCTCGGCCTTCAATTTGATGTTTAGTTATATTGACGACGTTTTATAAATGACATAAGGAAATAACGAACAGTATTCAAACTCAAAGGTCCATTCAAACAATGCAAATCAGGAGCAGAGCAAACGCGGACCTCTAAAACATCAGAGGTTGGATCAGGTGCCATGGAGGAGTGAGCATTCCCTGCTGACAGGTCACACCCTTCGTGTGCTTCTTGTCATGATCGGGAAAAACGGAAAAACCTGTAGACAATTCAGTGTGTAAATAATGGCCTAACAATTCGTAGGAAAATTGTCAGTCAGCATTTGACTTAATGATAAATTGTATTTGTTGACAAGGTCATTGTATCGACCATAGAACTTGCAAAATGATGACTTTAAACAAGACTGTTGATATTCTTGTTTCATCAACTTGTTGGTTAATAGCTTGCCTCGCTTTAGAAATTATTCGTACGTAGAGCATGCTCCTGCGTATCGAATCAACTGAGACACACAAACCCCATGTGCAGGTGACAAGGGTACATAAGTAAGGGTAATTGACTATAGAAAAGTTGAAGTCATCACGTTTATCATAAAGCGTGGGTGTTAGGTTACAATTAACACCTTTTTCTAGTAAAATATCCAAATATGAATTAGATGTGTCAGACTCTGTGGTATCTTTTATTGGGATATATCGAGTCGATATATGAATGGAAGTAACCATTGTTAATTGATAATACGTCGTCGATATATCGAAATGTCGAGTTGAAGCCACATCTTGTGTATTCTTCTTCTCATGTACAACTTTTTAAAACAAATTCTGCTTCATATGTATACAAAAATAGGTCTACTAACAAGAGGGGTGCAATTGGTACCCGTGGAAATTTTGACAGATTGTTGGAAGACCTGGTCTCAAATAACAACAGGTACTTTCATTTATATGCCGACTCAATATAACCATGTGAACGCGAAATAAAAGACATCATAGAGTCAGCCACATATATTTCAATTTGGATGTTTGACTGACTATATAGATGTTAATTGCAAATAACAATGAAAAACGGAACGACTTTAACTTTTCCATCGTCAACTTCTTCTATCTATGTAGAAATATTCCACTATCACCTGCATATGCTGTTTATGTCTCCCAGTTTATTCGGTACGAAAGGACATTTTCTGATTACGATCAATTTTGAAACCTAAGCAGGCTTCTGAAAATTGAATTGATATTGCATGACTTTCTACAATCTTGTTTAAAGTGAGCATTTCACAATTCTATGGTTGTTATATTGAAGTTGTTGCAAATAGAACCTATCTTTAGGTCGTATTTTTGCTAACAATTTTCATATGATTTGTTAAGCTATTGTTTTATACATATTTTGACTACAGACTAGTCCGTTCATCTGATCAATACAGAGGGTTTATTGAGAATGTGACCGGTCTACAGGGGATGCTTACTCTTCCTAGACACCTGATCCCACTTCTGATGTTTCCAAAGGTTTATGTTTGCCCTTTTCACGTTTCGTATTGTTTCCCCAGGATTTATAAGTTCGTTATCTTCACCTTTTTAATTTCATATGGCGTAGTATGGACAATTTATAAATGAATGCCCTTATTCAAACAGAAATTAAAGCACTCATCATGTCCAAACATTCTTCATACAGATACCGAAACTTTCTTTAGAAAACTACTCACGTGGAACACACGGATTCGGCATGGGAAATTTGATGTCATGTTCCGTGCAAACGCCTTCACTGACAACGTACCATTTCATCTTAATGGGAATCCATAACATTAACGGTGCAACAATTTTGAAACTAAGATAAATACTGCACAGTATCTACATGTAGATATTTTAACTGCACCAGAATAAATTTTACCGTATTATAATCGACGTATTCTATCTCATCCCTGACTGTCCCGTCCGGTTGAGGCACATGTCGAAACATGATCTTCTTCTTTATGATGTCATCTCTGAAGGAGGTACCATAATACTGAATAAAAAGTTAAATATTTCACTGAAAGAACGACTGAAATTGATGTAGAAAATAAAAAGAATTTTGAAAAACTGTAGTTTGATCCAGCTGGAAAGTTACATGTTGAATGGAGTTAACTTGCATTATATGAGCGATGGATATAGAGGATATTCAATGTCCTTCGTGCTTCGCACTCGTGAAAATATAAATAAAATCCTGTCCCACTCGTGAAATAAATTCCATTTTCATCTACAAAACATTGAATTTCCTGTTTATTACATTTTCTTAGATTTTCCCTTTGCCTTTGTCTTTTCGTAACACTGTGTCATAGACTGTTACGTCATAGTTGAGCGGTTAAGATGTCATAGCTAAGTGATTGTGAGACTGAAAAACGTTGTAAACATTGATTTTTAAGGACATATCTGGAAAAACTTTGGCAGTATAACTATTAGTTTCTGTCAGGATGGCTCATTAACTCTATCTTATAACAGGCCGGGGATTTTTTTTAAAACCACTCTTCGTGAAGGGAAGGAAAATCGTAAATTTTGCCGCACTTCTGATATTCTCACACTGTGAGAATACCATTTTGTTATCCTTTCACACTGTGGCAGAATATCACTTTTATTCAGTAAATAAATTACAGTATTTCACTGTTGAAAATGTAATAAATACATTTACAAGTTTTCTTTTTGATATTGCTATTATATACAGATTGTTTTCAGTTCAAAAATTATTTATAATATACCTCTACAGCTTCAGGGATGGATGTTTTGGGGTCAATTTTCCCGCCAATCATACGGAACTTGCTGACTTTCACAGGACTCCAGCATCATCGGTAAGGCGTTGAGGGAGAGGAAGTTTGATTGATAGCATGGGTGGGCGTGTCCGATGACGTGGTGGGCGTGTCCTTTGCTGTGGCAGTAGTGAACACGGAAAGTATGATAACAATCTCTAAAAACATTATGTAAAATCAAATGCGAATATGACAGCAAGAAACCGCACACAATGAAACGGTAAAATGTTTGACCGTAAGATAAAAGCAAAGGTTAAGTTCTAGTATAACTTGAAAAACCCAGGTTGTCATTCTTGTTCTCATATACAATGTATTGGGCAGATTGCTTTGTTCCCATTGATAAGAATAACAGACAAATATGCACTCATTTATTTCACAAAAATGATACATTTATCTGTTTAAAAAAATGAATCTTCTTGGTGTGGATTAACTGGAAATACAGTGATTATTGTAAAAATGCATGTAAGAAGAACATTTTCGGAAGTGGACTTTAAAAATATTTGAAAATATTTTATTTGTCTTAAAATAGATCTGACGAATATGCTGACCATTCCAATACTATCTTTATTTTAAACTGCATATTCTTAATTATTTGCCCACATCTCGTTTTTGATTATTGCAAAATGTTCTCTGAATAATATTGCCAATTGCCAATGGTATACTATTTATTTCTAATTGAAAACTGCTGTGCAAATTAGCTATTCAGACAGATTCCTATTTTAGGCATTTTGTGTTTACAAACTTCCGGTACAAGTATTTATTACTTGATTTGCTAAACATCGTTATTCAGATAGAAGTGGTAGTGGAACATTTTTTTTTCATAACACAACATTTAATGGCCGCTTTCCCTTAAAAGAGAAATTGTTCATATGTAGAACATGCTCTTGCGTATCGAATCAACTGATAAATATAAACCCTGTATGCAGGTGATGAAGGTATATTGCTGCATAAGTTGGGGAAGTTGATGATTAAAAAGTTAAAGTCATCACGTTTATCATAAAGCTTGGTTGTTAGATTACCATTAAAGTCTTTCTTAGTAAAACATTCAAATATGAAACAGATGTGTCAGACTCTGTGATATTTTTATTTCAAGGTCACTGGGATATATCGTGTCGACATATGAATGGAAATAACTATTGTTTATTGATAATACGTCGTCGATATATCTAAATGTAGAGTAAAAAAGCAAGAGTTTTTTTTCTCATGCATAAGATTTCGAATAAATTCTGCTTCATGTAGTAAGGTCAGATTAATAAAATTTATTAAAATTTTAAATGTGTTTGTTTGTGTAATTTCAATGTTTACCTGGCCATGTGCTTGTGTTGTGTTTTGTGTTCTGTGTAGTGTTTTGTCCAGTTTGGTAGTGTTATGTGATGTATTATTATTATAATTGAGGTCTTGCCAGGTGTCTTGCTATTGGTTAAGTCATTTTGGTCAGTCAGGTGGTACATTTATCCCATGCAGTTCATGCTTTTAACTTTCTAGCCAGACCTTGGTCCTGATACATGTAGCAGCAGGTTAGATTTCTTTTACTAATTTTACTAATTTTGTTGTTTAAATTAATTCTCTATACTTTTGACCATGACATTTAAAGTTAATATAAAGTTTATCTAAAGCTTAAGATTTGAATAAGTTAATTATTTTGCTTGATTAAAAGACTTATTGGTTTTAAATAATCTGAATGTTAAAAACTACATTTAAGTGTGTATGTAGCACCTTGAACTGTTTTATATTATTTTGATGACTAGGTGCTGGGTTACCATATGACAAGTTGTTGTAAATATATAAATCTAGACACATTGTCTTTGGTAAGAACATGTATTATTTATTTTAGATATTTTTATTTACTTTGAATTGATAATGAAAGTATTGGTTATAAAGTATGTTTGACAAATATTTTTGATTTACCAAGCTTAATTACCAAAATCCATTTTTACTTTTATTTTTTATGTTTTATCTGTAAAGCCCTATAAATCTGTTCAGTTAAAATTAAGAGTTATTGCCCTTTATTCAGAGTGCTGTACATACTGTATGATGAAGGAAAGTATAATGTTGAGCATAATGTTATACCATTGTATTTCATGTGATATATATAATTGTTTATGTTGTAATTATTTGATTTGTAGATTTACATGTATTTATAATATATTTTCAATTTTAGGGCTCCATATATCAATCAATTCATCAAGATGTACTACATAAAAGAATAGAACCCATACAGCAGTCTTATATTTATTGGACCTGTAACATTCATATAAATACAAAAATAGGTCTGCTAATAACGAGGCGCAATTGGTACCATGGGAATTCCAACAGATTGTTAGAAGACCTGGTCTCTAAAAACCACATAGATAATGTCAATCAAAAACTCAAGCATCTTTTTAATATCAACGTACATGTAAGTACAATCAGAATGTTTTTAAGAAAATAATTTTGCAAATGATCAATGACAAGGTAAGTAAATTTACGAGTTCCATTTTTATTGAAAAAGTAGCTGTCCATGATGTCAAAAAGCCTGGACTTTAATTTGTCGCGGGGAATGATTGTATATAGAGTTGAAAAAGCGTAAGTTTTGATGTTAATGATTTTGGTAAAATTTTGTGATTTCAAGTTTTCCAAAAGTTCCTTAGAATATTTAGGTATCCACATCTGATTTACACCACTTCTCGAATATATTGTTGCACAGTACTCCTGAAGTTTCTCCTTTGCTGCTGTTAATATTTTAGTGAGGAGAAAAGAAAAAGGCTTGTAGACTGACTTGAAAACATCACGATGCATTAGATTCCCCCCCCCCCTCCCGACAAAATCAGGGCCCATCAGATGAAAGGGATAAAAATCTTCGTCTTTTTTTAAAGAAAAAAGAAAGACGACAGGACTTTGTTAAATATTACGAAAGCATGTATAAAAAATTGGAAGTTTGAATCAAAATCCGGGTGCGGCCATGAGAGGACCGGGTGTTAAAGACATAATGAAGAAATTCATTAGTTTGTTTCTTTTACATTTTCACATCACAACATGAATTCTTTGTGTCTTCTTTTGGCCAAGAGCCACGATTAAGCAAATTTGACCCAACACTACACTGAGATGCTTACTTATGTATTTAAAAAAAACTGAAACTTTGTTTATTTTAAAGATTTTATTAAAGCTATCGCAGCCACCTAAAGCTTTTATGTCCGATGAAAGCTAACAGTAACAGCAATTCATGAACAGTTCATTCTTGAGATGCATCTATTTCTAATGTTTTAATTAACTCACCCTGAACTAAAATCTCCAAATCATTGAAGAAAGGCGTAGGGTTTGGTTTCAATAAGGGATAAGTTTTAGAAGAGAATACATAGGAAAAGAATCTTTCAAAATCGTGCTCTAAAAAACAGCAGGGTATTCTTTTGTCACATTAATATGCAAGCATCCTCAGGTGGCACAGTTTCAAGTGTGTATAAATCATGGCATCTCAGGGTGTTATTCACAATGGGGGATCAGATTTGTCTTGCGAATAAGTTAGAACAGCGAGGCTGCAATAAGTCTTTTGGAATTTTCATGGATACAATTATATACCCCGTTATTTGAAGACTGTCTGTATTCTTATGAAGCAAACTTTAACCAAAAACCTCTACATGAAAAGAAGAAGTCTCAATTCGACATTCAGAAATACTGACAACGTTTTATCAATTAACAATATTCATGTTCACTCCTATTTGACGTGGTATATCCCATTAAACTCGAAATAAAAGACACTACTGTTTGACACATCTCGTTCTATGAAAGAAAGATATTGGTGGAAAATAAATAACGACTAAACTTTATGATTAACGTAATGACATCAACTTTTCTATCGTCAATATCCTCTCTTTATGTAACAATATACCATAATAACATGCATATGGGGTCAATCTGCCGTTAGGTCGAATGTTGACTGACGTCTTTCATAAGTACACATTGTGAAATTATGAAAGACATCAGTCAACATTCGACCTAACAGCAGATTGACCCCATATTTACACATTGTTAGGCCATTATTTTCACGCTGATTTGTCGACGGAATTTTCTGTTTAACCGATCATGATAAGTGAAACACTCCTAAGTAAATAAACTATCGTAAACTCTACTTTACTATAGTTAAATATATACCTGTATAAAACACCTATTTACTGGCTATGAGGACAATAGCAAGTTTATCGTCCCCCAAGACAGCAACTATTTCCCGAGGCGCAGTTGCTGTCTTGGGGGACGATAAACTTGCTATTGTTCGAATAGTCAGTAAATAGGTGTTTTATTATACAGAAGCCGACTTTACTTGTTGTACGTCAAAATGCGGAGAACCCCGGAAGAGTTCCGAAATGAAAAGCAAGGGAAACGGAATGTTGCCGGTGAATAGTTTGATGACTGTTTCACCATGGGCAAATAGCACATAAACTATTCTACGGTAGAGCTGTTTAGAGAAAAAAATAGCAGGTTTGTTCGTCATTATTTTATGTAGAAAAAAATCAAGAGGTATAATAAATTTTTCTATAGTATCAAAGTTTTTACCATAGTAAATCAACGTTTTTACTACAATAAAATATTTTTACATTAAATTTTAAATTGTAACAATCTATTTTTCCACGTCTTGATATGTTCAGATATTAAAAAAAATTTTACTTAGATATTCACATATAATTTATCGTCGCCCGCGTGGCGCAGTGGTTACAGCGTCTGCTCTAGAGTCGCGGCGTAAGGAGTTGATCCTTACGTCGCGGGTTCGAATCCCACTGTGGGACGTGGAGACCGGTCCTTCGGATGAGACCGTATAAACCGAGGTCCCGTGTCGCAGTAGGTGCTGGCATGAAAACGATCCCTCACTGCTCAATGACCGTAAGTGCCGAGTAAAGGACAAAATTTGCAGCTCTCCACCGGCAAGTGGTGGCGTCTCCATATGAGTGAAAAATTCTCGAGAGGGACGTTAAACAACATACAAACAAACAAACAGATATTTTATCAAATTTACATCGTTGGTGTGTAATTAAAGAGATATTTAGGCCTTAAATCTCATGGAGCTTCTAGGGTAAAGTTTCATAGTAAATTAAAGCACATAGTA